TCCTTGAAGGCAGTGACTTGATTTTGTTTTTAAAGGATCTTCAAAAAATATTTATATTTTAGTTTTAGGTGAACACAATATCTTCATTTTATTTTTATGTGGTGCTGAGGATCAAACCACATGAGGATTGCCTCACACATGCAAGGCGAGCTCTCTACCACTGAGCCACAACCCCAGCCCGCCACTTGATATTTTTCTCTTGCTTTAGCTGTTGACACAGTGCCTTGTGCTTAGTGAATGGGCACTTAATAAATGCCTGTTAAGTGAAAAAAATGTTCTATCTGCCAAAATACCTTGGACTGTGATTCTTTCTTTCTTTTTTTTTTGGTACTGGGATGTGAACCCATTCTACCACTGAGCTATATTCCCAGTCCTTTTTGAGTCAGGGTCTTAGTAAATTGCCCAGGCTGGCTTTGAACTTGTGATCCTTCTGCCTTGTCCACCTGACTTGCTGGGATTACAGGCATGTACCATTGTACCTGGTTACTTAGACCATAATTCAAGGACCAGCTTCTGAGAACATGCTCAATTTGATGTACTCCCATTAGGTTTTCTAAAACCAGGGGAAAAAAAGCAAATTTTTAGGAAAAGCTGAAATCCAGCCCTATTACAGATTATAAAAAACAAACTTACTGGGCTGGGATTGTGGACCAGTGGTAGAGCAGTTGTCTGGTATGTGTGAGGCACTGGATTCGCTCCTTAGCACTGTGTAAAAATAAAGGTATCATGCCCATCTACAACTAAAAGAATATTTAAAAAAAGAATTCAAGCTTATGATCCAAAGTTTAAAACTACCAAATGCCATGTAAGTAAGAGGAAACTGAAGTATAATCATTTAAAAAGGACTTTAAAAAGTCCTACAACAGGGCTGGTTCAGTTGGTAGAGTGCTTGCCTTACATGCACAAGGCCCTGGGTTCAATCCCCAGAACCACAAAAAAAATAAAGTCCTACAACAAACTCTTCACAGAGGTGCATGTCTGTAATACTGGTGACTGGAAAGGCTGAGGCAGGAGGATCTCAAGTTTGAGACTAGTCTTAGTAATTCAGTGAGACCCTCAGCAAATTATTAAGATCATTTCTCAAAATAAACAAATAAATAAAAATAATAAAGGGCTGGGGATGTAGTGCAGTGGCAAAATACCCCTGATTTCACTACCAAAAAAAAAACAAAAGCCCTGAAGCTCCTCAATTTTTCAAATGACATAGTTGTTCCTTAACCTCACTTCCTTCAATCACACTTGAGTTTGGTTATCTGTGTTCCTTACATAACTCCAGCTACTGTTGCGTCTTACTGCCTGAACTTCAATGTAAAATCTACCAATTCCTGGTCGGGGATATAGCTAGGCATATAGATAGACACACTCCCACACAAAAATCTCTCAATTCCCTAGCCCCCACCGAATGCATGAAGGATTAAACACAATCAGGCATCAATATTTATTAACACAAGACAAAGGAAAACACATTTGATGAGTTAATAGAACACTGTCCAGCCAGATGTTAAATTTTAAAAATGTATATCTAGTCTAATTTCAAATAAATAAAAAAAAGTTTATACATAATTACACAGTACTATAGTTTGAATTTGACACAGGTAAATATATTGACAGAAGGTAAACAGAACAGCATTTAGGACTAAAAAATTATTCTTATATTTTTACAATCTCTTTCTCTGGACAAATAACATGGCCCATCTATATATATACCTAAACCAGAAAGGTATGAATGGTAAAGAAAAGGCCTATTGTGTATTTGGAGTACTGCAGCTTCTTGCTCCAAACACTCCTGATTTTACATCAAAGCAGACAACAAAAATAACACTAAGGCATAGATCATGTTGGAGTTTTGAGGGTGAGGTGATAACTCCTCTTGCTTTAGTCTGAAGGATTCCTGGATATTCAAGAAAAGTAATTTATTTGGCCAAGATATTGAGCACCGTGCCTGGGGAGAGACCTTAACACAAATGTAAGGCCTCAGGCCCTTTGTTGATTCAAGGAAAGCATTAAGCCAACACTGTCCCAGGGACTAAAGGAGACACACCAGACCAACTGAGGCAATGGTCCCTAAACAGCCCCAGGCAACACAACTGCAGGAGAAAAGAGAGCTGTGTACTGGGGAGAACTGGGCCCTTGTGCAGCAAGAATTAAAGACTATATGGGTTCACTGATGTCAATTAGCGAAATGGGCATTCCAGGGTCTCACTGATGCACAAGATAGCTTGTATCACTAGTTCTAAGAACTTTTCAGTTGCTTCTGCTGAGAACCAGGAAGAGGTTCTGAAACTTTAAAACCAGAAGATTTCTCTTAAGATGAGGGTATACTGCTAAGTGTTGCCTCCACCCCCACAGCATAAAAACCCAGACAGAATGTGTTTCTGAGGACTGGAAAGGCTGTGGGAAGGTTGGGGGTTGTTGTTTATTTTATCAGTAATGGCCTTTTAGGCCTGCTTTAAGAGTCAGTTCTACACAAAAGTTCCACTTAATGTGGAAAGAAAAAGAGCACTGTGTTATCAAGAAAAAAAAAATTAAACTCAAGTCTGCAATAAACCTTAAGATAGACCTTAAATCTGCAGATGACTCCACAAACACCATGGAGGCTAAGATTGGACTCTTTTTTCATCCTAGGAACACTTTCCCAGAGTTAGTCATGAGGTTCCCCAAGGACAGCTCTCAGTTTTCTTTCTTCCACTAGCACAGTCCACTCTGGGGGATATGCAAGAAATTAGTAAAGCAGCTACACATCAGCAAGGAAAAGAAATAAAGACAAATGGAGGCTTGAGGACTGATAAAACTAGATTATCAGCCTGAAATGAATGGGAGTTGGCCATACTCTGAGATGAATGGAATACTGAACTTGAAGGAATGAATATAGGTCTATGCTGCCCAATACAGTAGCCACTAGCCTAACGTTCGGCTACTGAAGCATTGAAATATGACTAGTCCAAATCAAGATGTGTTTAATACACACTGGATTTTAAATACTTAGTATGAAAAAAGTAAAACATCTAATAATTTTTATACTGTTTCACATTCAAAAAGTATTTTTGATATGTTGGGTTAAATATGTTAAAATCAATATCACCTATTTATTTTTTAAAATATGGTTACTAGAAAATCATAAATTACAGATGTGGCTCACAATACATTTATAGTTGACAGTGTGGCTAGATGCTGATACCCTATTCGTGTTTCTAAGAATAATCAACCAACCCGTAGGAAAGAGACTGCTTATAGCTTCTTACAATTGAGAGATTATGGAGAATAGAACTAATTAATACTCAGCCTCCCCTGCTTTTGTTAGTCATTAAAAATTGTTTTAAAGAATGTTACATTTCAAATAAGCAGGTAATTTTCTCTGCAAACCAAACCATTGCTAGACGCTGGGATTTTGCATTTGCCCCAGTGGAAATGCTTCTTTTCTGTACATGCTAGAACCTCCCCCATGTAAATTAATTCCCTCTGAAACACTGAAAAAGAGATCTGAACTGGAAAGTATCTCGAGGTCTTCCCTCTATGGAGAATGAGCTGGGAGAAAAATAACTATGTAAACGGGAGTCAGTCATAAAGTGGCTTTGAGTCATGAGACGTAAAGGCGGCCTGGGAGTGCTGCCCTAGTGAAGGGTCTGGTCTTTGCTTTATAAACCTTATTTTCAGGGTAATTACAAGTCTTACAAATTGTTTAAAAACACATTTAGTTTACATGATGTTACAGTGGGGTAAATAATATGTATTATTAAAATAGTCTAAATAAATATTTACATAATAGACCAGAATGGTTCAAAGAGAACCGTTCTGATTTAACAAGTTAATTCTTTTCACTTTTGAGGTTAATTTTAAAAAATATTTCTGTAAGAAAAAAATAATAAAATTTAACTATATTCAAATACATGAAGTATCAGACCAAAGTAAGGAAACTGAGCTAGAGGCCAAACTCAGTTTCACACTCAGTCTGCTTAGCCTGGACAACAGTTATTTCATAAGAGTTTCTTGCATACATCAGACTTCCCCTATTTCAACATAAGCCTGGCTATTCTGGCAAAGCAATCTGGTCAGTTTTGAGATGTGCAGTAATGTGGCCTCACAGTTCCATGTGATCACTGATCACTGAATGGGATCAGTCTATTATTCTTGGTTTTAAATGCTTTTCCCTTATGAACTGAAAGGACAGAGAGCACTCCTCAATTTTCAGAAAGCAAAAGCTCTATGTATGAACTGTAGGCAGATTAAAGGGCCTGGAAAAAGAGGATATTCTAAATTCTGTAGTCACTCAATGTGAAAGATAGTTCCAACACCAGGGCCAGAATCAATTATTGTGGTTCCTTTGAATAGGTAGGATCTGATATATTTTTGCTTTTTCTTAAATTTCGATTTAAATGGAGATTTTCAGCTCATACAGACTGAATCCTTAGAAGCTTAAGCTGACATTGGGAATGCAAGCTTTAAAAACAAACATAGGTAGATTTAGTTTATAAAATATACCAGCCAACAAAGACAGAACAATGTGCAGCAAAACTTGCAATTTGCACTTTTTAGTCACCTAATCAATATCACTACATCAAGAGAATATTGGAATTCTCTCAAAGTAGAAATGTTTCTACTTTGGTCGCTGTAATTATATGTGTCAATTTTTCAATTGTTCAGCTAAATTATATGTATTCTTATTTACATGTTTAAAACACTGATCAAAATGTTTTACAGTGAAGAATTACATATATGTGTGTGTGTGTGTGTGTGTGTGTGTGTATATATATATATATATATATATATGTAATTCTCATATTCTGTGGGTTAACTGATTTGCTTATGAGCTGACTGAAAATAAGCTGAGTAATTTTATGTTAACAAAACCCACAAAGTATCTAGCTAAGGGAAAATAGCAAAATACAGTACAGAGCGGGTAGCTGTATAATTCAGACTACCCCTTCATGTGAATTCATTAAACTCCCTTAAAAAAATTCTAAAATGGCATTAGGTAAAAATACGAAAATATGTACAACAGATGAAAAAAATGCAACATGCAAATAATTGCTTTAGTTACGTGTTGCTCACACTGGTCAAAGCTAAGGTCTAATAGACTGTTAACATTTTTTTCATTTGCCACCACAGAATCCCCTTTCCTGTGTATTGTATGATTGCAGAATTCCACAGGATGAGATGAAGGATATAATGCAGGCATCTCAGCTTATTTCACATCATTTGGAAACCAGCTCCTAGCCATGGGTCTTCAGTCTGATTCTTGGGATGGCCTTGACAGCCCCTACAAGGATAGCTACATGTTGTAAGCCACATAGATGGGGTCTAACTGGTCAGCCAGGAAGCTGTCACGGAGGTGCATCCTCTGCTTCTCTCCTCTGGAGTTGATTGGGATGACACCTGGGTCCACCACAACAACAACACCAACGATGAGGTAATGCTCTTCTAGGACCACATTGGTCACTAAAGGAACCAGATCTAGAGCTTCCTGTTCAGAGCCGCACAGTTCCACAACCACCACAAGCAAGTTGGTCCACGTGAACACAGCACTGAAATTTCAATAACATTCAGTTAATGTGCCATTACATTTCCAACCATCTTTTACAGTACCTGCCAAGACTGATGCCCATTTCTCTGAGAACTGCTTTCTCTCCTGGATCCCAACCAGAAGGCCAAAAGTCATGTTGTAATACATGACCTTGACCCAGTGACCACAGCTAATAAACGAGCCGTCCAAAATCTCCTGGGGTATTGGAGAGGACTACAGTTTGTAGCTTGTCATTGGAACTGAGGACACGTGTGTTTGAACATTCTAGGATGGCCAGAGGTACAAAGAATCACGAAGAAAATTAAGTCAATGTATGTATGGCTTTTTCTTTCACTTAAACTTTTTTGAGGAGAGTTTCTGTTATTTGCAACAAAAGAGCTCTAAGATAAAAATAAATTTAAATTTTATCTGTTTATTTTTTGTGATACTAGGTATTGAACCCATAGCTTCCTACATGCTAAGCAAGTGCTCTGTGGATAAGCTCTACATCCCCAGCCCTTTAAATTTTATTTTGAGGCAGGGTCTAAGTTGTCCAAGATAGCCTTGAACTTGTAATGCTCTTGCCTCAACCTCCCAAGTAGATGGGATTACAGCATATGCTCCTGCGTCCAGCTCTAAGATGATATTCTTTTTTTTTTAATATTTATTTTTTAGATTTAGGTGGACACGATATCCTTATTTTATTTTTATGTGGTGCTGAGGATCAAACCCAGTGCCTCACGCATGCCAGATGAGCGCGCTACCACTTGAGCCACTTCCCTAGCCCCATCTAAGATAATATTCTTAAACTGAACATGAAGAGAGCCTGTCTGACCTCACATGAGCTAATAAGTGTCCCACACAAGTGTTCCCTATGTGTAAAAGTGCTGTAAGATACAGTGGAGACAGTAACTCCTTTAGTTCTAAATACTATGTTAGAACATATGATCTGACTTGTTTATATAGAGTTAAACTTTAAAAAGAGGTTCAGATCATTAAGGAAAATTAAAAAACAATTATCTGGTTGCAATAAAAGCCAACCATCTAACATCTGAATGTAGCCATGGCATACAGTTTCTCTGCATGCTTTCCACATACTTTTTTGTTGAAAGACATTCTTGCCTTGGTCAGAGTGTCATTCAGGTCTTATTCTGGGGAGAGATTCTGACCAAGACATCTTTAGAAAAAGTAGTACATGGAAAGCATGAACCACTATCAGAAAAACTGGCTATTTAGCAGGGGAAAAAACTGGTGAAGGATGCAGACTTTTAAATGAGTAGAAAAGACAGTGGATGTGTTCTATATAGTGAAGAGCCCAGGTAAAAACCACAGGGTTTTCATTTTAAGTCATTATGAGGTAGGATGATCTTTATCAGGGAAAACAGGGGTAATTCCTGCTGTGAGAGGGGAATTAGATGAGAAAATAACACTGATTCTTTTAATTTGCTCCCCACTAACAATTTAAGAACAAAAGCTGATTTGACCCTGCTGGCAATTGGAAGTGGAAGAGAGTATTTTACTGATGAAGAAAGCAGTGTGGAGAGTGGAGTCTGCAGGCCTGTAATCCCAGCTACTCAGGAAGCTGAGACAGTATGATTTCAAGTTCAAGGCCAGCCTCAGCAACTCAGTGAGACCCTGTCTCAAAAAACAAAAAAGACTGGGGATGTAGCTCAGTAGTAAAGTGACCCTGGATTTAATTTCCAGTAACCCCCAACCCAACACAAAAAGTCTTTTGACCTTAAAGTCATGATTCTTCCTACCATACTACACCAACTTCCTAGAGGCAGATATCTGCTAGTCCCTTCTAATTAAAAGCTTATTCTTTCAAAAGGACTCAATTTGAGCTGGGAATATAGCTCAGTTGGTAGAGTGCTTACCTTGAAAGCATAAGGACCTGGGTTTAATCCCCAGCACCACAAAAATAAATAAATAAATAAGGATTTTAAAAAAGACTCAGTTCCACAGTGTTCCATAGAATAAACTTCAGTGTTCCCTGGTATCTCTGTAGCCTTCTCTGGCTCCTGTGAATAGGCTTTGCCATAGCAGACCATTCATCCAAGACAAAAGTCATTATTTTTCTTAACTTGCCATGGAGTTCTATCTGTAGGTAGGTGTTTGGAATGAATGGCTGACTAACCTGATTAGTTTTTAATCACTACTAAAGCTGAGGTAGAGAACAGTGTGGGCAAAATTACCATTCAGCAATGCTCCTGTGGACTCGAGACACTGAGGTCTCAATATCAATTGGGTGGTATCGTAATCCTCGCAGCTCCAGTGTTTCATCCAAAGCTCCCACCACATATAATGCATCATGACGCTCTGACAAAAAGAATATACATATGGTTCAGACAAATGCTGAATGCAACATAATGTTGGAGTTAAAAGCACAGGGTTCATATGTGCTCTTTTGAAAAATGATGGACCTTGCTTGGTGTAGAACAATTGCAAAGAGCTAAGGTAAGGTCCAATTTAGACCTTTAAAGTGTAGCAAGTTATCTATGTCAGTTCTTCAGTGTGTGGTGCAGTTAGTGTTGGGTACTTTCAAGTGGCTTTTAATGCCAGCCAGGAAGAAAGGTTAAAACTGGACAGCAGAGAACACATGTTGATCAACAGGGCAGGGGGTGGAGGAAATGCTACATGAGAGCCTTCAAACCACAGGCTTATATCCAACATGATAAGCAAACTGATTCCCCAGAATTACCACCCTCACCCCATTCCCAGGATTAGGGCTGTTCTTTCAAGTCCCCAAACTGTGTACAGGGTCGAGAGACAGGTAACACTTGTCCCAGGAGCTTGTTAAGGGTTTGGAATCAGCCCTATAGGGCTGAGAAGTCTCATTTTGCCTTGGGTATTTACTCATGTTCAGGTCCATCTCTACAGCTGTCCAGTACTACTAATACTCGGTTCCAGGAAGCTCATGCAATTCCCCTAAGTGCTCCCCTCCCAGACACTTCAGAGAGCAGTGTTACCTCAAATGAATAAATTCATATAAATTCACTTATGGGTTCAAGAGGCATTGACGGGGACAATTAAATACACTTCATACTACTCAGACAGGTGGAAGGAAGCCAGCCAATGAAACAACTCAAATGGGGAGAAGTGAGTGGTGGAAGATACCTCCAGTGGCTGCTGTGAGCTCAGTTCTGCGGACAAACCCAAGGTATCCTGTCCGAGCCCAGAGTGTCTGAGCAGCATCCCCAAAGCTGAGGCGAGTGTTGAAATGATCAGCTTGAAGAGTCTCACTATCATAGATGGTGTAGTAGCCACTGGCTGTATGTGGACTATTCACCCAGATCTATAAGAAAAGGGCAGTGGTCACATTTCAACAGGAATAGACAACTATATCAATTTAATTTTTCTAGGACAGATTTTTATGATTTTGTAAAATCTCATTTTCATATTAATTACACAATTGCAGCAATAAGGGCAGTTGGCAAACAATATATGCCTGATTTCTGATGATCCTAACATATAGGATGTGACAATATAGGTCACACTATTATTATCCCCATGTTACAGATGAAAAAACAAGGAGTTGAGTAATTTACCTAAGAGGAAAAACTAGAGTTAGCTGGCACTGGGGGCTGCACTGCCTCTCTGGCTCACTTCTCACATGCTTCCAGAGTACCACAACTGTACCAAGCAGCCATCGCTGTGCTTCTGGTATAACTATGGTACAAAGCCCTCAGGGAGATACCACAGGACATTGTGAACAGCAAAAGCTGACAACCATGATAATAACAGCTGCTATTATTTATTGAGAATTATGAGCTAGACACTTTTTGCATTAACTATCATGATTCTCCTTTGTTGTTGAGGTAAGTTGTTTATAAATGGGGGAGAGACCCAGAGAGAACTAACTCGCTCAGTGTTGAGAAGCATAACTGGTGAAGCCCAGCTCACCTGGCTTCTGCAGTTACAAGACTCTTTCCACTAAACTATAAGATCAAACAGTGTCCCTCAAAGATTTGGGGGGAAGAAAAGTGTTTTTGAATATTTTTATACAAACACTAAAATGGATATATTTTAGAATACAACAACACTTGCATACATTTTTAAAACTTTATATATGTGGCTCCTTTCATTTCCAGCCTTTAATAGGTGGGAACTAATAGGATTTGCAATTTCCTTTCTAGCTAATAGAATGACAGTGGACAGATCTGGGATTACATCTAGTTTGGGAACCTAAATTTTCCCTCCCCCTCCCCCTCCTTCTTCTTTTTCTTTCTCTTTCTCTCTCTCTCTCTCTCTCTCTCGCTCTCTCTCTCTCCCCTCCCTCCCTCTCTCTCTCCCTCCCCACTGGAAATTGAACCCAGGGCTTTGCACATAACTGACAAAGTATTGTACACACTGAGCTACATCCCTAGCCCTAAATCTTCACTAGATCTCATCTCAATCTCCCCTCCCTGTTTACTTCAGACTCCTGCCTTATAGAAAATGAACTATTCACAATGAAGGAAGTTAAGTTCACAGTTTTACTAGCTTTTAGAAACGTGAACTCTAAAGTCTTTTGCTACTGACTTTCCAGAGTAAAAATAAAAGGAATACCCACCTCACCCAGGTGAGAGTCTCCAACAGGCCCTTTGGTCTCAGGATTAACAATAACCACTTTCACTCCAGGTAAAATCTAAGAATCAAAGGGAAAATACAAACATTGGGTTTGAGTAAATCTAATGACCCCTAGGAAATGTGCCATGACCTGCTGGTGATGTGGGAGTGGCAAAAATAGGAGAAGCTGATGGAAGTAACCATCACTGAAGTACCTGACCTGAGGGGTTAACTGGGGACATCCTGTGTTTTGCTCCAACTGAATCTTCCTCAGCTCAGGGGAGACCAGAAGTCTAATAAGATTCACCCTCAAAAATAAAACAGAGAGGGGCTGGGGTTGTGGCTCATAGTTAGAGTGTTCACCTAGCGTGGGTAAGGCTTTGGGTTTGATCCTCAGCACCACATAAAAATAAATAAATAAAAATAAAGGCATTGTGTCCACCTATAACTAAAAAAATAGTAAAAAATCTTATATAAAAAATAAATTAAGACAGGGAACCAGTCTACTATCTCTTTAGAGGAATGAGAAACTGCTGACCAGGACCACCAACAAGATTCTGTAGAATAACTTAAGCACATAACCTCCCTTTTTCATGATCTGTCTAGTTCACAGGAAGGACAGTATAAACCCCGTAAAACAGAAACTCCAAGAGCAGGGAGGGATAGTCTGAGAGATTCCACTGCAGCCATCAGCTAGGGCTACAGTGAGGGGAACTTCATGAGTAAGAGAGGACAGCATGAGGGCAGTTTTACAGAGAAACAAAAAGACATCCATGTTCCTGGAATTATGAAAGACATCCTTACGTGCCGGGGATCTTCCGCAGGACAAAAAGGAAGAAATAGGTGCTGGCTAAAAGAATGGCCCAAAGCTTACCAAAAGAAAGACCTCTCTGGTCACCTGTATCCTGCCCTCTTGAATCTTTTTTCTTTCTTTCTTTTTTTAATATTTGTTTAATTGTCAATGGACCTTTATTTTACTTATTTATATATGGTGCTGAGAATCAAACCCAGTGCCTCACATGCTAGGCAAGCGCTCTACCATTGAGCCACAACCCCATTCTTGAATCTCTTTTTTTATGTTGGCTTTCTATAGTCTGAAGTTACTCCAGAAACCCTACTATGATTATTTGGACTCAAATATCTAAAACCTTGAGGAAGGAAGAGAAGAAAACCACTCCCTTTAACCTGGGCCAGGACCTGCACTCATTCTTGTTCCAGTGGCATGCTTAACTCTGGACTGTGGCAAACACAGATTTGATGAGGCAATACTGACCCCATGCCATTGTGAGGAGTTCACAAGGGCAAAGAGAAATCAGAGTCAGCTCCCATGGGACTGACACATCATACATCATACAGAGCAAGCCCCTAGTGAAAAAACTGTCTTCCACATATAAATTCTCACTTTAACCAAGAAACCTTAACCTATGGGGTGCACTCTCCAGTATGTTTAATCTCTTCTCCACTCTGACTTTTCTTTCAACTTTAATATTTATAAAGACAGACCTGGCTGTTTTTAAGCTTTGTTCTTCTATCCACCTTGTATATAATAAACATTCCATTTTGCTGGTTTGCCAATAAAAATAACTTTCCACTGGATTTTTAAAAAATTTATGTAAAGTCAGAAGGTCCAGCATCCTTGTTTATGTACCCATGTGAGTTTCAAAGTATTAGCTAAGATGAAACTGTCGGAATTATTTGCAGATTTCAAATAAGTCTTGCCTTTGATACAAGTATTTCACTTGGCTTCAAGTCTCTTTAGAATGACCCACCTTGCCACAAGGCCCACCATCTCAACAATTTAGCAGGAGAAAGTACCTTTCCAGACTCTGAGAGCAGCAGACTCTGGGGAGCACCCCGTTCCACAAGACGAACCCTGCAGAGGAACAGTGGTTAATGTATTCAAGCATCTCTAAAAAATGATTTTACCGTATCTACTACCTTCCCATGACCCCTAATTGGTCTCTCCTCCTTCAAGGGCAGGGTTTCTCTAACTCAGCACTACTGACATTCTGGTTCACATAATTTTTGTTGCAGGGTGTTTAGCAACAATCCCTAGCCTCTACCCACTAGATGTCAGTAGCAACCCTTTTCTTGACAACCCAAAACATCTCCAGACATTGTCAAATGTCCTTGGGGTGAGGGGCAAATCTCCTAGGGTAAGAATACTGCCTAAGAGAGGCCTGCCACCTGTGCAGGTTGGGTCCTTGCCTGAGATACACCAGGAAACGTGCACCAGTGGGGCCTGGGAAAAGGTCTAGGAGTCCTGTCCAGTGGTCACCTTGAGACAGAACTAAAATTTCCTTATACAGTGAGGAGGAGATGACACGTTTTCACCCATGGGGTTCAGGTAAAGTCTTGTTTCAAAAACCCAACTCTGCCTCATTTATCATGCCTATCCTATCTTTTTTATTTTTAGACTTTCAGAGGAAAGAGACTATACATTTTACTTTAATTTATATCAGTCACAAAGTACTTTTACACAGGCAAAAAGCATTACATTTTAATATTAAAGAATAGTGCAACCACTGTGAGAATTAAAGCTTTCTTTTTATAAATGAAAATCTTATTGTGAATAAATGATAAAAATGAATTTCTTCCCATGCTGCTACTGGGAGATACAAATATAAAAGGAAAGAAGGGAAATGCTGGCTTTGAGGATCAGAATTCTTTGTGTTCTTTCCCTATTAGATTTCCTAAGCATAATCAATCCTACGTACCTGTCATGTCTTAATGATTTCAGATCTACATATACAGTAGTTGGATCAGGCCCTGAGGTTCCCTAAAGAAAAACAAATCAATGCAGTTAATTTTAAAATTTAAATGAGCCATCTTTTCCTTACTTCACATTTCCAAATCAAGAAATAGGTAATCAAAAAAAGAAAGAAAAGAAATAGATAATTTAGCCATATGCACAAAACACCCCCTCTATTTTATTATTTACATATATGTGTAAAATTAAAAAGCAAAATTTTACATATAGAAAATAAAAAGCAAATTATGTGGATGCATATATATGTTTTATATATCTATAATTTGTTTTTTTTTTTTAAATTTTATTTTTTGACATGCTGGGAATTGAACCCAGAGTCTTGTACATGTTAGGTAAGCACTCTTTATTTATTTTTTGCAATACTGGGTATTGAACCCAGGGTTGCTCAATCACATGAAATCCTTAGCTTCTCTCTTTATTCCATTTCTTTATTGGTGCATTATAATAATGGGATTCATTGTTGTATATTTGTACATGCACATGATATAACCATATAATTTGGTCAATATCATTTATTCCCTAGTATTTCCCTTTTTCCTCATCCTCCTCCCTCCCTCCTCAGCTCTCCCACATTTTTTAAAATTTTCTCATTAGCTGCGGAAGCTGGCCTTGAACTTATGATCCTCCTACCTCAGCCTTCCAAGTCACTGGGATTTACAGGTCTGCACTACCACTCCTGGTCGTCCACTCTATTTTAAAAGCTACTTTCTCTTCAACCAAGTGAGGCAGGATAGAAAAGACTACTTCCTGAAGTTTTTTTTCCCTTTCCTTCCCTAGGAGGCCTCCTGCCCTCCCTTCACCACAGATTATAGCAGAATTGAAACATTATCAAGCTGAAGAGGATTTCCACCCCTGGGCTCCAAGCAGGAATGAGAGAAGCCACCATCCCATGGATTTTCAAAATCAATACTGCCACAGCTGATAGTAAGGGTCCTCGGTGGGGCTGCAAGGTGAAAGCACCATGATGTTTCCTGAAAGTCACATGACTACAGTCAGAGAAAACCCAAAAGTATCCATCTGCATATCCCTTTTACTCTCACTCTTGTCCACACCTATATCTGCCCTTTTAGCCTCCAAATTGCATAAAATCAGTTTTGGTCCCTTTTCTATGATTCACCCCCAAGTTGCCATCTGACTGAAAAGGAGAATACTGGCTTATTTGTGTTTTGTTTTCAATGGGGGAAAAGTGCAAAATATGGAGAAGACAGATAAATAAAATCCAAATAGGACTCAGAAAGTTTCTTGATTCATCATCACAGACCACATCACTACTACCAAGAGTAAGCATTTACACTGGTGCCTGTCTGCCAGGCCCACTCTAAATGTTCTGACCTACTAACCCTTTGATTCTGCAAAAAACCTTGTGAAGTATGAGATTGTTGTTTTATTTTACAAAGAGAAAAATGAAACAAAGAGAGGGCAAAATAAAAAGCCCAAAGTCCAACAGCAAGTGAGCTGAACTAGGGCTCAAGCTTAGTAGTCTGCCCTATGCTTGGGGCACCTCACATTCCTTCTTTGTTTGCTAGCATACTAGATTTTTTTTTTTTTTTAATTTTAGCTTTTAGTCGGACACAATATCTTTATTTTATTTATTTATTTTTATGCTGAGGATCAAACCCAGGGCCTCGTACGTGCTAGGCGAGCGCTCTGCCGCTGAGCCACAACCTCAGCCCCTAGCATACTAGATTTTGACCTCACCTGTAAACATATTGCCACGTTGACTCTTGATCCAAAAGTGGTACTGACGGCTCGAGGGGACAGACCAATGTCTTTAAAGAGCTTGGAGAAGGACTGCTGGAGGGCAATGCGGGGCCGCTCCTCTGCCACCACCACACAGGTCCGGATGCAGGAGAGGTTAATCCCCCTTGTCTATAAGATACCCATGCCATAAGCTGAGTTAGTAGGATCAGAAGAGAACTGAATAGGTAGAATCACTGCTCTCTCTTTGGTCAGGAAAATCTGAGGAAATATTTTCTTGGCCCATACACACAGAAAAAAACAGCTTTTAGAAAAGAAGAAAATACAAACATTCCATTAAAATAATTACCCACATATAAATCTGCTCGTTCTCTATTTCTTTCCTCTTTTATCTAAAAATCTTAAGACTTTTCAATAATACATTCTATCTTTTCTCATTTCTGAACCTTAGATTTCTTCCTATTTTCTGGGACTAAGAGAAAAATAAATCTAGAACTTTGGATATCTAACCTTTTGTCTCTTTTTCATTCTTGAAGTCATACTTCTCAAAGAAAATTCAGTATTTTCAAACTTTCTCGTATGACAGAAATATGATCACTGTATACACACATAAATGAGCTACCTTTAGCTACGGGACAGTCTCCAATCTCTCATATTCTGAGGTTTTAAATTCTATTGGGAAAATTCTATGGGAGGTTATAGTTCCCTTTTATCTTTCAATCAGTTTTGCCTTCTCCACAAAGACCCAGGTTAGACTCTGAAAGTATACACTAAATTAGGAAGTAAGAAGGGTTAAACTTCTTAAAGTTTACAAAATATCCATTAATTGTCTGGCTAGAAACAGGCAAATATGTCTGCTAACTCTTACTCTGGTATTAGCATGCCCTGGCCCCTTATTTTAAAATCTCTTAGAACTGGTTACTTGTGGTAGTTGCTTCTTACCTTTAGCACCTCCACTTGGTTTCCCAATCCTTTAGTGCAAAGCTCCATTACTGAATAGGAGCAGAAAGTGTCCCTTATTTTGTACTGGTTGACAGTGGTGAGCCAGAGGAAAAGGTTATTTTCTAACTCCATAGGAGGAATTAAGATGGACTGGTGACCTGAATAGACACTGTAATGAAGAAAGGCAAAAGCTGATATTATCAATTCATCCTAAGATGTTTCAAAATGTCATAAACTTGGCAAATATTTACTGAGTGGGAAGGATAGTAGAGGGGTCGCATTAGATTGAAGATCTAAGAATCAACCTTATTCCCTTGCAATTCACAAGATACAGTAATCATAAAATAAAGCAGACTGTAGTAGGTGTGGTAACAGATGTGAATAAAGGGCACAGAGTTCACAAAATAAAGAGCAATTCATTCAAGCTAAGAAAGCTGGGGCAAAGGTGGTAGGGTTCACTGAGTAGGTAGCACTAGAGCTGGGGCTTAAAGGAGTAGGAATTTGAGTGGCTGGGAGTGAGAACAGGGGCAATATATTTCATGCAGAAGAAAAGCATATGCAAAGGCAAAGAAATATGGAGTATGTAAAGCTGTCAGAAATAGCATTCTAGTCAGGCACAGTGGTGCACGCCTATAATCCCCATTTGACTCAGGAGGCTGGAGGCAGGAGAATTCCAAGTTCAAAGCTAGACTTGGCAACTTAGCAAAGCCCTAAGTAACTTAGTGAGACCTTGTCTCAAAATAAAAAATTAATTTTTATTAATAGGAATGTGGCTCAGTGGTTAAGTGCCCCTGGGTTCAATCCCCATACCACAAACAAAAGAAAAAAAAGAAATAGCATTCTAGTGAAATCCTAGAGCACAGGGTACAAGGGGAAAGTGAGGCCAAAAGAGCAGGGGCCAAACTATAAAAGAGCTTAACTGTCTTATGAAGAAAGTCAGTCTTTACTCTTAAAAGTGTGGCTTTAAGTTGGGGCAAAACCAGCAACTCGGGAGTAGGGATGGGAGACTTGAACCATTGAAAATTGAGAGACAGAAGTGGTTACAGCAATAGTGAAGGTAAAGGATAATGTGGGCCTGAACCCTGACATTGAAGTCAGAATAAAAAGAAAGGAATGGCAGAGTCACATATCATATATATAATCTAGATCAGAATCACTAGGAGCTCAGGAATCCTGCATTTTTGTGATTGCTACCTCTGGAGACTGAAGTTATTAGGTCTGGGTAATCCTTATTAATTATTTTTTCCACAACAGATGGGTAATATGCCAATGTCATAACTAGATTTGAGGGAGGCATATCTCAGACAATGGTGTGAAAACCCAGTCATACAATATGAGCCACAAAAGGAGCTGTTTTTAATTCTGAAAGACCCAGAAATAATAATAAAATAATAATAATAATAATAGTTATTCTTATTATTTTTGTGTGTGTTGGGGTGTACTGGGGATTGAATCTAGTGTGATCCACTGAGCCATTCTCAGCCTTTTAATATTTTTTATTTTGAGACAGGGTTTCACTAAGTTGCTGAGGAAAGCTTCAAATCTGTGATTCTCCTGCCTCAGCTTCCTGAGATTACAAGTATGTGCCAGTGCTACACACAAAGGCACAGGAATAACTGAGCCAAAGGAAAGAATATTTCATTAGATGTGAGACATAAAGATATAGAAGTTGAAAATAATGCTCAAGTTCCTATTTCGGGTACCTTAGTAGACAAACCTACCCTAACAAAGATGGGCATGTAGAAGGAGGATGTTACAGGCATTTTTGAAGCATTCATAATGTCAACCCAGAAGGTGAAGATGCAGGTCTGAGATAAGGTTTTCTGGGCAGATGGTGGAAGATGGGACCTGCTATTTCTCAAAAAGCAATCTGCCCAGGGCAAACATGCCACTTCCCAGCCACATGCTGTCATCCTATCCCATCATATTCCTTCCTGCCAAGCTTAGGGGGTATATTCTGGCTGTCAAAACATGTCATATTTCATCCAAGAATCATCCTTTCATTTGGCTCTGTTTCTAAAACAAGAATTACAGGATGGAGCAGAGAACAGGTAACAAGATCACTGCCATTTTGTACGAGGCAAAAATCTAACAGAAGTTGTTGGACTCAGTGGTGCATGCCTGTAATTCCAGCAACTAGGAAGGCTGAAGCAGGAGGATTACAAGTCAAAGCCAGCCTGGGTAACTTGGAAAGACCCTGTCTCAAAATAAAAAATAAAAAGGACTGGGGATGTAGCTCGGTGGTAGAGCACTTGTCTAGCACGTGTGAGGCCCTGATGTGTCAATTCCCAATACCAAAACAAACTAACAGAACGGAAAAGGGGGAATACAAATAAAACTAAACAACGTCAGATACAGATAAGGTGCATAAATTCTAGAAACATCAGCATTTTACTGAAACATTATAGAATTTAGGAGAGCAAAAGGAAGAAGAAGATTGTTATATTCCAAGTATACCCCACACATACTGTTTCTTTGGCTTTTTCATCCCTACCTGCAGAGACACCAGAGTGCAAAGCCAAGTCCACAGTAAGGGTCAAGGCAGATGGCGATCTGCCGAGAAGAATACAACTCACACTGGAGCTTGATGGCTCTACAAAGAGCATTAACTGCAGAGTGGGACATCTGCAAAGTAAGGAACATGGAACAGGATGGAACTGGCATCCCACAGGCAGAGACACAGCTTTGAAAAGTTTAAATTCCCCAAACTCATCAAATGAATATTTTTTATTTCCTTAAAGTTTAACCTAAATCTAAATTAGACATCACATTTCTATTCATTAGCTAATACTGCATTTTATATGTGAACTTACAACTGCTTACTGACTTTAATGAGAAATCTGATTATTTGTTAGGATCTATGCTAGGTTCAGACACTTCAAAATCCAAATTCCTTGAGATAATGTATTCCGGAAGAGCTGATGCTTTTATTTGAATATAGAAGGGACCCTTGATCCTCCGCCTACTGGCCTCTAGTTCAACCAGTTGGCCTCTACATCTAAAGTCTCCGGGACAGTGGTCATCTCTTTTTCTGTGATCTGGCATATCAGCAGACTTTGATGAGTGAGTGAATACACCCAAATAATTTTACCTTCACTCCTGTAAGCATGCCAGTTGTGGAGACACTAAAATCAAGATATGCCAACATCTCAGGTGTAGGTGGTTTATACAGCTGAGGTAACCTTTTCCTGGGTAAATCATCTGCAATGAAAAGAAAAAACATCAATCAGACATGCTGGAACATGAAAACTATTACTCTTCAACTGGTTTTCTGTGGCTTTGCTATGGTTGAATTTAGCTTCTGGAATTTGAAAAGCCTGGGCTTCTCATTTTTAACCAAGCCTCTCTGAGGCAGGTTGGGGTTGAGGACAACATTAGACAATCTAAATACAACAAGTAAATCTACATCAGGTCAATTTATTTAACAGAAGTTTAGTAAGAAGCATACTGCTGTGTTCAAATCCTGGTTCTATTTTTCTCAGCTATGTGGCCTTTGTGTCTGTTTTCCTCTTCTTTAAATGAATCTCTAAAATAATACCTACCTATATAACTGTTGGGAAGTTAATTCACACAAAACACATTAAAGACAACAACTGACTGAGTGCATGCTCAAAAAGCATTAGTTGTTGATATGCTGGTTTCCAATTAAAGTTCATTATTTACAATTTAGTGTATGTTCTATTAATCACGGGAAGCTTTAAAAGTTGGACAGTTTTCCTCCAAGTTTACCTGGAAGACTTTAAGACTGGTAATTTAGAATTGGTAATTTTTTTCTCATTTATGATAATTCTCCCATTTTATGAGTATGTCAACACCAAGGATGTCTGTGACCCAATCATTCAATGTCCATGTCCTAACAGAAAAAATACTGAGTTTTAAATCTCCATGTCATGGGTGCCCATTTCTGGTCAGTCCAAAAACTTTCTCTATCCATCACCTTCGACCTATCATTGTGTAAGGTTGAGTCACTCAAGACCATTCATGTACCTAAAAGAAACCTTACTCTTGTCTGTACCCACAGCCCATATTTTAGGTCTTCCTGCAATGTCACTGAGTCCATTACCACAGCACATCGGTTTGTATCATTAATACCAACACAAATAATATATACCATTTGTGTTATATACGACAGTGCTTCTGCCTTTGAATAACAAATAAAAAAATTTAGCTCAGCATCTGGCACACAATAATCACAAATACTATCATCTCTGCATTTAAATCCATATAAATATTGTGGAGGTAGTTACTATAAAGTACTTTATGAAAACAGGGTAGGAGGAAATTAATGGTTAAGAGGTAGGCAATAAGCCAAACTGGCCAGGTCTGCATTTCACTTCTGCAGTTTTTTTTTTTTTTTTTAATTGTTGGTTGTTCAAAACATTACATAGTTCTTGATATATCATATTTCACACTTTGATTCAAGTGGGTTATGAACTCCCATTTTTACCCCGTATACTGCAGTTTTCTTAATTTCCCTGTACTTTGGTTGTCTTATCTTTGAAATGAGGGTAAAAATAGCAGCCATCTAGAAGCCAGGCATGGTAATTTACAGGTGTGTACCTATAAACCCAGGTACTCAGGAGGCTGAGGCAGGAGGATCATAAGTTAAAAGTCAGCCTCAGCAACTTAGCAAGACCCTATCTCACAGAAAAAAAAAAAAAAGGCTGGGGATGGAGCTTAGTGGTTAAGTACCCCTGGGCTCACTCCCTGGTACTTAAAACAAACAAACAAACATAGCAGCCAACTAAAAGGATTAGAGTAAGGATAAAATTAGGTAATGTGTTAAGTGAATGACACATAAAAGAGGCTCAGTAACAGATGTTATCATTATGATTCTATGCTAGGTATTTTACATCACTCAATCTTTACAATTCCCATTTTATGGTCAGTTCTATCTAGGTTAGTAAGAATACTCAGAGAGTAGCAAAAACCTGAGAATTTTAAAAGTGGCTGAGTTCAAAACCCATGCTCTTCCCTATTCCACTGATTTTCTATCTATTCCTGGGTCTTACCTCCTTTAATATGAATACCACTTAAAATTCATGCACATTGTGGTTCTCAACCTATTTTCATATTATATCGTATTTGATTTTCTCAATAAATGTGAGTCAGGTAGGGGTAGGCAGTATTTTAGAAAAGAGTAATTTCAAGGTTAGACAGGAAATAATAAAGCTCTAACCAGAAACCAGGTTTTCTGATTCCTTGTAAGATATTGTTTCAACTATATCACACCTGAAAATGATGGATCAGATCATCTCACTATTTTACATGGCCATACATAGAAAAGTAATGGATCACATCCGGCATAAAAACCTAATGAACTTTCAATGATGCCAAGAGTAACTTCTCGGTGCCTGGTTATTACACTGCCGAGTACTTTAGGCTAATTGGATCCTAGGTTTTTGCCTCTATCTTAGCAGATGGAATGTGTGCCATAAAAGCTATGTCAATGTGTTTGGCACAGGATCTAGGAAATCTCAGTAAATGTTCTAGTTCCCATGACAGCTCAGGAGAAATCTCCCTTTTACCTGTGTCAATGATGGCTGGCCAGGTTTTCACATCCACAGCTGCTGCTGCTTCTCGGGACCTTAGTAACCTCATTAGGGTTTGAGTGGTGAGAATACATGCTGCTTTGCTGACCTAGAAAACAAACAGCAATGAGCATCAGGAGGGTTAGCTCTACCTCTGGCTGCTGCTAAAAGCAACTCATACACCATACTAGTCACGGTAGTATCAGCTTTTCAAAGAATAAAGTCAATATCTTCCTTTTACACTTTGCCCTCTGGAAATATGTAACACTTAATTCTCTCAGAACAGCAGACTTCTTCACAACACAAGCTACTGCTTACAACAGTGATTTTCAAATATTTCATAATTATATTCTCAGTATGGATCCCAGAATCCTGTGATTTTACGAAGACCTGAATAAAATAAGACATGGATTTTGTATGCTCAGGGAATGAGAGGAGACAGATAAGAATGTCTGGAGTCAGTGTGTGTCAGTCTAGTGAAGGTGGAAAGTGACCAGGCTAGAAAGTATGCTGATGTGAGGACACAAATGCAGACAGACGCTCCCACAGACACTGTCCAGCTATGCACAGAAATGCAAACTGACCTACTTTGCTCAAAAACTGCCTCAATAGAAATAAATTCCCTTCCCTACTTTTCTGACCCACTTTGTAGGATATAACAAGGGCATTCTGTTGAAACAAACTTCAAAATAAAATCATTTGAGGTGAATATGGCTTTTATGCTACAGACTCAAGTTGCTGACAGAGTGGCAGTTCTCAGAGAAACAAATATTAAATAAATTAGGATTCTACAACATTTTAGTACCTTGGCCAAGACTGCCTTCTGCTTTAAAGTACATTAGGATATGATGCAATACAGATTTAACTTCAATTTTCATATGTAAAAATTTCTATCAACTTCAGAACAGGATTTGGATGTCATTTTTTTTTCCCCATGTGGTGCTAGGGATCCAGCCCAGGGTGTCATACATGCCATGTGAATGCTCAACCACGGAGCAAAACCTCCAAACCAGGACATCTTTTAATACTATACCAAATGAATTTACAAAACTAACCAAACGAAAGTGATCTGCACTTGGGAGGATTTTTTTAACCTTATTTATTTATTTTAATTAGGTATACATGACAGCAGAATGCATTTACCTTTCTATGGTTGTACAAAATGTAGCATCACACCATAATGTGCAGTCATATAGGGTAATGATGTCCATCTCATTCCACTGTCTTTCCTGCTCCCATGCATCCTCCCTTGCCTTCCTCCCCTTTGCCCAAAGTTCCTCCACTTTTCTCATGCCTCCCCCATCCCCATTATGGATCTGCACCTACTTATCAGTTTTTTGGGGATTGACTTACTTCGCTTAGTATGATATTCTCCAACTCCATCCACTTACCTGCAAATGCCATAATTTTATTCTTTTTTAATGCTGAGTAATATTCTATTGTGTATATACACCACAGTTTCTTTACCCATTCATCTATTGAAGGGCATCTAGGTTGCTTCCACAGTTTAGCTATTGTGAATTGAGCTGCTATGAACATTGATTGATGTGGCTGCATCACTGTAGTATGCTATTTTTAAGTCCTTTGGGAAAAAAATATATATCCTGAGGAATGGGATAGCTGGGTTAAATGGTGGTTCCATTTCAAGTTTTCTAAGGAATCTCCATACTGCTTTCCAGATGGGTTGCACCAATTTGTAGTCCCACCAGCAATGTATGAATGTGCCTCTTCCCCCACATCCTTGCCAACATTTATTGTCCGTATTCTTGTTAGCTACCATTCTGACTGGAGTGAGATGAAATCTCAAGAGTAGTTTTTATTTGCATTTCTCTAATTACTAGAAATGTTGAATATTTTTTCATATATCTGTTGATTGAATGTATCTTCTTCTGAAAAGTGTCTGTTCAGCTCTTTGGCCCATTTACTGATTGGGTTGTTTGGTTTTTTGGTGTTAAGTATTTTGAGTTCTTTATGTATCCTGGAGATTAGTGCTCTGATGTGTGTATGGCAAAAATTTGCTCCTAAAATGAAGGCTCTCTGTTCACCTCATTGATTGTTTCTTTTGCTGAGAAGAAGCTTTTTAGTTTAAATCTATCCCATTTATTAATTTTTGATTTTATTTCTTGCACTTTAGGATTCTTGTTAAGGAAGTAATGCAATATGATGGAGATTTGGGCTGACTTTTTCTTCTATTAGATGCAGGGTCTCTGGTTTAATTCCTAGGTCCTTGATCCACTTTGTGTTGAGTTTTGTGCATGGTGAGAGGGGTTTCATTTCATTTGTTGCATATGAATTTCCAGTTTTCCCAGCACCACTTGTTGAAGAGGCAATCTTTTCTCCAATGTATGTTTTTGGTGCCTTTGTCTAATATAAGATAACTGTAATTATGTGGGTTAGTCTCTCTGTGTCCTGTATTCTGTACCAGTGGTCTACCAGTTTATTTTGATGCCAATACCATGCTGTTTTTGTTACTACCGCTCTGTAGTGTAGTTTAAGGTCTGGTATAGTGATGCCTCCTGCTTCACTCTTCTTGCTAAGGATTGCTTCAGCTATTCTGGGTCTCCTATTTTTCCAGATAAATTTCATGACTGCTTTTTCTGTTTCTATAAGGAATGTCACTGGGATTTTGATTGGAATTGCATTAAATCTGTATAACGCTTTTGGTAGTATGGTCATTTTGACAATATTAATTCTGCCTATCCAAGAACAAGGGGAGATCTTTCCATCTTCTAAGGTCTTTTTTAATTTCTATAGTGTTCTGTAGTTTTCACTGTAGAGGTCTTTTGCCTCTTTTATTAGGTTGATTCCCTTTTTTTTTTTTTTTTTGAGGCTATTGTAAATGGGGTAGTTTTCCTTGTTTCTCTTTCAGAGGATTTGTCACTGATTTATGGGTGTTGATTTTGTATCCTGCTACTTTGCTGAATTCATTTACTAGTTCTAGAAGTTTTCTGGTAGAATTTCTTGGGTCTTCTAGGTATAGAATCATATAATCGGCAAATAAAAGGCAGCAGAACACAACAGACACTAGTATGGCAATATGTAAATTAATGGATGTGTAACTGATGTGATTCTGCAATCTGTATACGGGGTAAAAATGGGAGTTCATAACCCACTTGAATCAAAGTGTGAAATATGATATATCAAGAAATATGTAATGTTTTGAGCAACCAACAATAAAAATTAAAAAAATAAAAAATAAATAAAAATATGAAAAAAATATATATATAATCGGCAAATAGTACTAATTTGAGTTCTTCTTATCTGTATCCCTTTAACTTCTTTTATCTAATTGCTCTGGCCAGTGTTTCAAGAACTATGTTAAACAGAAATGGTGAAAGATAGCTTCCCTGTCTTGTTCCAGTTTTTAGAAAAAAAATGCATTAATTTTTTCCCCATTTAGAATGATATTGGTCTGGGGCTTAGCACAGATAGATAGCTTTTACAATGTTGAGATATGTGCCTATTATCCCTAGTTTTTCTAGTGTTTTGAACATGAAGGGGTGCTGTATTTTGTCAAATGCTTTTTCTGTGTGTATGGAAATGATCATATGGTTCTTATCTTTAAGTCTATTGATGTGATGAGTTACATTTATTGATTTCTGTGTGTTGAACCAACCTTGCATCCCTCGGATGAACTCCACTTGAACATGGTGCACTATGTTTTTGTATTTGATACGCCAGAATTTTTGCATCTAGGTTCATTAGAGATATTAGTCTAAAGTTTTCTTTCTTTGATGTGTCTGCCTGGTTTTGGAATCAGGGTGATATTGGCCTCATAGAATGAGTTTGGAAGTGCTCTCTCTTTTTCCTATTTCCTGAAATAACTTGAAAAGTATTGGTATTAGTTCTTCTTTAAAGGTCTTGTAGAACTCGGCTATGTCTCCATCTGGTCCTGGGCTTTTCTTGGGTGGAAGGCCTCTAATGACATCTTCTATTTCATCACTTGAAATTGATCTATTTAAATTGTGTATATCATCCTGATTCAATTTGTGCAAATCATATGACTCTAGAAGTCTGTCAATGTGTTCGATATTTTCTATTTTATTGGAGTACAAGTTTTCAAAATAATTTCTAATTATCTTCTGTATTTCTGTAGTATCTGTTGTGATATTTACTTTTTCATCATGTACATTGGTAATCTGAATTTTCTCTTTCCTTCTCTTCGTTAGCATAGCTAAGGATTTGTCAATTTTATTTGTTTTTTCAAAGAACCAACTTTTTGTTTTGTCCATTTTTTCAATTGTTTCTTTTGTTTCAATTTCATTGATTTCAGCTCTGATTTTAATTATTTCCTGTCTTCTACTGCTTTGGGTGTTGATTTGTTCTTTCTCTAGGGCTTTCAGATATAATGTTAAGTCATTTATTTGTTTATTTTTTCTTCTTTTAAGGAATGAACTCCATGAAATACTAAGAGGAATGAACTCCATTCCTCTTAGTATTGCCTACATAGTATCCCAGAGATTTTGATTTTGATACATTGTATTTGTGTTCTCATTCACCTCTAAGAATTTTTTAATTTCCTTGATGTCTTTTTCAACCCATTATTCATTCAATAACATATTATTTATTCTCCAGATATTGGAGTAACTTTTATTTCTTATTTTATCATTGATTTCTAATTTCATTCCATTATGATCTGATAGACTGCAGGTTAGTATCTCTACTTTTTTATATTTGCTAAGAGTTGCTTTGTGGCATAATATATGGTCTATTTTAGAGAAGGATCCATGTGCTGCTGAGAAGAAAGTGAATTGAAGGATGAAATAGTCTATATATGTCAATTAAGTCTAAGTTATTAATTGTATTATTGAGTTCTATAGTTTTGTTGTTCAGCTTTTGTTTAGACTATCTATCCAGAGGTGAAAGAGGTGTGTTAAAATCTCCCTGAATTATTGTGTTGTGGTCTATTTGACTCTTGAACTTGAGAAGAGTTTGTTTGATGAACGTAGACACTCCATTGTTTGGGGTATATAAATTTTTGTTGTTGTTATTATGTCTTGTTGAGGAATGGTTCCCTTAAGCAGTATGAAATGTCCTTCTTAATCCCTTTTGATTACGTTGGCTTGAAGTCTAATTTATTTGATGATGATGATGGAAACTTGCTTCTGC